GATCTCAAATTGATAAATACTGAAATTTCTAAGATGAACCATCATGAATGTAGTACACAAGAAATTTGGGACTATTTTCAAGGCAAACTTGAAAATACTATAAATGCCAACATTCCGCAAAAAAAAAAAAAAAAAAATAGAACAAAAGACGGTAACCCTTGGATTACGGCAGACATGAAACGCCTAATACGGAAAAGAGACAAACATTACAAGAAAAAGAAAAAATCAGCTGATGCTAAGCATAACACCAAATATAAAGAACTAAAAAGACTGGTACAGAGAGAAGTAAGACGAGCATATTGGAAATATATAGAGGACATAATAACACCTGATCCCAAAGAAGACAAGCCAAACTGCATGAAACGTTTCTGGACATTCATCAAGCACAAAAGATCAGACGGAAACCAAATACCGCCATTAAGGAACAATGGACTACTCCATCATGACTCAGTTGAAAAGGCTAACATACTAAATAAGCAGTTCCAATCAGCTTTTTCTGAAAAAAACCAACTTCACAGAAATAGAATTCAAAAACCGTTGTGACATGACCAACAACAACTACCCTGCACTTCAAGACCTGAACATAACAGAAAACGGAATAGCAAAACTATTATCCAACCTAAACCCATTTAAAGCTGCCGGTCCAGACACCATGACATTAAGGGTGCTGAAGGAATTAGGCATAGACATCGCACCAATCCTAACAACCATCTTCAGGCGATCCTATGAAACAGGTGATTTACCGGACACATGGAAAAAGGCTAACGTAAGCCCAATATTCAAGAAGGGAAAACGGTTTGATGCAGTAAACTACCGCCCAGTCTCGCTTACCTGCATTTGCTGCAAAATCATGGAGCACATCGTAACAAGCCACATAATGACCCATGCTGACAAACACAACATACTGTATCCACTACAACACGGATTCAGGAGAGGCCTGTCCTGCGAAACACAATTAATTGAGTTTATTAATGATATCACCATAAACATGGACACAGGAAAACAAACCGACTGCCTTATAATGGATTTTTCTAAGGCCTTTGATAAAGTAAGTCATAGCCTACTTACACACAAACTGGGTCAATATGGCATAAGAGGGAAAACCAATAGGTGGATCAAAAACTTCCTCGCCGACAGGAAACAAGTCGTAGTTGTAGAAGGGGAAAAATCTGATACAATCAACGTCGATTCGGGCGTCCCACAAGGATCAGTTCTTGGACCCAGTTTGTTCCTTTTCTACATAAACGACATGCCAGAGGGAATCCGATCAAGGGTAAGACTCTTTGCTGATGATACAATCATATATCTCACAATATCATCGGACACAGACAGCGACCACCTTCAGGAAGATCTGAAAAAATTTGCAATTTGGGAAAACAAATGGAAAATGGGATTTCATCCAGATAAATGTAATGTTCTTACCATAACAAGAAAACGTAAGCCTATTATAAAAGATTATAAAATGTACTGCATGGCCACACCCTCGAATCTCTAAATTCTGCAAAGTACCTTGGCTGCACCATCAGCTCCGACTTAAAATGAAATGAACACATCAAAAACATATGTGTCAAGGCAAACAAGACCATAGGCTTCCTCAAACGTAACTTGAACATCAATAACAACACAATAAAATAAAACTGCATACAAGTCACTTGTAAGACCAACTCTAGAATATGCATGTACAGTCTGGGATCCTTATCAACAAAACAACAACAACCGACTGGAAATGGTACAGAGGAGAGCAGCCAGATATGTCACTAACAGATATCATAACACATCATCTGTTAGTGACATGCTTAACAAACTAGAATTGAAAACCCTCGAAGACCGTAGGAGAACATCAAGGCTTACAACATGTACAATGATGTATAAACTTGCCAACGGGATGGTGAAAGTTGACACCAGTAATACTCTCATTCCACCAGAAACATCAACACAAATGGATACCAAGTACCATCTTGTAGGACCGAAGTTCGGAAGGAATCTTTTAACCTAAGGACGATACGAGACTGGAATGCCCTACCACATACTGCCACCAATACAGGTAGTCTTGAAGGCTTCAAGACTTACCTACATGAGATGAACTAGATCATCGCCAGGATGTTTTTAAATTCACTGTATATATGATGTATAGCACAATTCAAATCAATTCAATATTTATTTTTTGTCTAAATTTTAAATGCGCATCCAAAAAGTGGCAAAATAATCAACTTATTGACGGTGGCCGCGTATTGGTAGAAGTAGAAGTAGAAGAAGTACAAATATAATCAGTAATGTCAGTGTTGTACGATGCGGTCATTCAGTTTTGTTATACAAACCATCCTTAACTACTGACTTTAGTGACCGTTTAATATTATGAATACGAAGAGGAAATGCTGGCACTCTAAATTGACGCGGAGAATATTTTGTAGTCATCATGGCCATTGTGTACCAATGTTGCTGTCTTTTGTTTTATACAATCCATCCTGAGTTAACAAATTTATGATTTATGATGCGGCTATAAAATTGCAAATGATCATGAATATTATGGTCAGTCAGCAAAGGATTCCCAGATGATGTGCCAGTATAGTCTGTTCTGGTTGATGCAGTCAAATAATTTTGTGATACGAGCCATTATACTAAATCTACTATTGTTTTGTGGCGAGTCATATTTTAAACATGTTGAATAAAAAGAGGACATGTTGGCACCCTAAATTGATGCGGACAAAATTTTGTAGTCATTGCGTTGCAATATTGCTGTCATTTGTATTATAAAATCCATCCTGATATAAAAAAAAAATACTGATTTATTATTCGGCCATATAAATTTACATAATAAAGTGCAAATATGGTCAGTTTTCATAGTTTTGGTTGATGTGGTCAAATAATTTTGTTATACATGTTATACGAGCCAGCCTGAGGTATCAAAACGACTTAATTTTTGTTACCAGTCAGTATATTGAATAAAAAGAGGACATGCTGGCACTCTAAATTGATGAGGACAAAATTTTGTAGTTCCAAATGTGCTGTCACTTGTATTATACAATCCATCTTGACGTAAAAAAAATTACTGATTTATTATGCGGCTATATAATTATACATAATAAAGTACAAATATGGTCAGTTTTGGTTGATGCGGTCAAATAATTTTGTTTTACAAGCCATGCTGAGGTATCAAAACTACTGAGTTTTTTTGTTACCAGTCAGTATTTTGAATAAAAAGAGGACATGCTGGCACTCTAAATCGATGCGGACAAAATTTTGTAGTCATTGTGTTGCATTATTGCTATCACTTATATTATACAATCCATTCTAACATAAAAAAAAAATTACTGAATAATTATGCGGCTACATAAATATACAAAAAGAAACATTAGTAATGTGGGCACTCTGAATTATAGCCGACCATAAACAAGATAAACATTAGAAAAATTACACCAATATTGCTTTCATTTAATATGATTATTTTATACAATTTTATACAATCTAAGTGTTACGCGTTATTGCCATTGTTCATCGATTTTATCTGATAATATAACCATTTTATAAGATTAATGCCAAATTTTTAAACAGATCAGAACTTATAACATTTTATATAAAATGCATGTATATACGACTTAAAGAATTTGATATTTATTAAAATGATTATTTAATGCACATTAGCAGTGTAAAAGAGGGACGAAAGATACCAGTGGGACAGTCAAACTCATAGATCGAAAACAAACTGACAACGCCATGGCCAAAAATAAAAAGACAAACAGACAAATAATAGTACAGATGACACAACATAGAAAACTAAAGACTAAGCAACACGAACCCTACCAAAAACTGGGGGTGATCTCAGGTGCTCCGGAAGGGTAAGCAGATCCTGCTCCACATGTGGCACCCGTCGTGTTGTTTATGCTATTACAAATCCGGGAAATAGTCTAATTCGGTAAGTCACATTCGTTAAAAGGGAAGGGTATTGTAGTTACGACATAAAGAACATATCCGATATCGTTTTCAATTTATAAAAAGGCAGATCACGGAGACATTTGTTTAACTAGCTAGGTAAGTTTTATTCGTACTTTATTTACAAATGTATTTAATATCTGTATTGTTTATATCAAGAAACAAAGACATTGATTTTAAAAATATTTTATAAAAAAATCGATGTAGAGCGGTCCTGGTTACAAGTTAACTTAGTGTTGAGTAGACCAGCCAAAAGTTAACTTGAAATCAGGTCTGGTTCGATCGGAGTTTTAAAAATCAAAGTTAACTTATGACAGGACTGGTTTCGAAGTTAACTTATAATAGTAGCGGACCTGTAACAAAGTTAACTTTTTAGGCAGTCATAAAAACAGTCCTTAGACCAAGTCCGCTTTTCAAGTTAACTTGATTGTGGTTCTAGGACTGGTCAGAGCAGTTCTTAATCCTTTCACAGGTTAACTTTAACCAGTCAAAATGACTGCTTAGAAAGTTAACTTGCTGTACAGGTTAGGACTGCACCCATCTGTACTTACATACAAATAAGAAGTGGTGATATTGATAATGTTACAACTAACCACCCGAAACTCGACAAGGAACATGCATATGCAGAAATATGGCGGGATTATGTTTGCGAGCTCTCAGCTCACCCCGTAGCATGCGTGACTGGTGTAACAGCACAACAAAAGAAGACACTTGAATTAAATCTATTTAAAAGGCTTATACGATCCACACAATACACAATAAAAAACGACCAAAAAGACGCAAGTACCGATCTAAGGGTATTTTCAGTTACTGTGCCCTTTTCTTTACATTGTAACTTTATAAACATAACAAGAGAGTTAATAAAATTACACCTTCCATTCACACACACAAGGTTTAAATCATTACCAATTGTACACAATTTGTAGCAAACAAAACAAATGCTATTATTTTGTTAAGGTGAATAATTTGTTTATTACTCATATAAGGATGTATTTTTGTTTTTGAAAAGAAACACGACAAAGTTTAAAAACTTCATCTTCATTTAAATGTTTTTTATAATAGTAAAATACTGTATACAAGAAATGTCAGATGCGTTAATTATTATGTGGTTACTTGACTTATTTGTTTATTTATCAAATGAGGATAAAGCACATATATAAAACGTCATATTCGTAAATCAGGATGTGGTTACTTAACAAATTTGTTTTGTTTCAACAAGGATAAAAAAAAACAATACTTATATAAGAAAAACTATTACAGAGTGGAAAAATTATAGAAACCCTCTTCAGTTAATAGTCACATGTAAGTTAAAATTTGAATTTTATTATTTTTTGTTGCTGATATAACATTAGAGCAAAGCTTGGAGCATGTATTAGTTCCAGAGCAAGGTGAAAAGTAATAGTAAATTGAAAATTATTGTCTTATCCAAAAAATCATCACGTATTACCACGTGAAAAGTAAATTGCACCAGTAAAACAAATCATACATCTGTGCTTTGGTCTGGCATCCATTATAGCCTGACATGCTCAAGTTTTGCCTATCCAAACTAAAGGTCACTTTTTAAGTTTTTCTTCGACTCTTTTAATTTTCTTGTTTTTTTTTCATATTCAGTGACCCATTGCATTAAATAAGTAGTCAAACGAGCTCACTTTGCTTTTAAAACAAATAACTTCGCCTGAATAATAAAACATCTGATTAACTGCCTTAACTATTTTTTACAGTTAAATAAACCCCGACTCATTAAATCTATTGATCTGTTGACTATATATAAAACGACAAATACGTTTTCTTGACTATAATTTCAAAATAACTAATTCAAGAATGCATATATTGATAGCATATCAAACGAGTAACGGACCAACACATTAATTGACGAATGTTTATCATCTGTGTTGTTTGCTCACGAGTTGAAATTTTTTTGTATTGCAGTTTAGGATTATTGAGTCTTTCTATTACATTGATCATTGACTTTTTAATATAAATAAAGTAGAAAATGAAAGGACTATATTTTTTCTTAGCAGTTCTTAGATCTTTTTTGAAGCAACGTCACCGACAATTTCATGACAACACTTGTTTGACGTCAGATGAGTGAAATTATTGGCTGAAATCGACACTGCACTTGTTTGACTGTCACCTTTACTAATAGGTTGATTAATACGACGTGTCGGTGTCTCAACCTATATTTTCGCGGATTTAGATCTTTAGATACCACTATTTTCATCTGTTATGTAATTTTACCAATTGTGACATTTCGACGTAGTGTTATCGCATGACTAGGGATACATGCATACCAGAAGACTCTTACCCTGTCGACGCACCAGGTTTCGCTCCTTTAACGAATTATGCAATTCCCCAGTTTTGTTTCTTACCCCGATTCGTATCTTTTTAATCGAATTACAAGATTTGAAAATTTGCAAACTACTGTCGCCTTATTCTATGTCACTGGGAAATCATAGCAACCAATGTAAGCAACGATTTTAAGTTTTCCTATAAGTTGTTGTCCATTGAAACGTTAAATTATATCTCTTGACTGTTCAAACGTCAAATTAGATCTCTTGAATGTTCAAACGTCAAATTAGATCTCTTGACTGTTCAAACGTTAAATTAGATCTCTATAAAGTAAACACGTCAAATCGTATCTCTTGACTATTGAAGTTCAAACAAGTGATTATTTAAAATTTGACTGATTACTTACTCTTGCATTAAATCTCTAATAACAAGCATATTTTTACGGATATGACAATTAAAAGATATGTTTTTTTTAAGTAAAATATAATCATCATTTAAGTAAAAAGATGGAAATAGTGGTACATAAAAACCGCTATTCAAGGTTATAAATGCAGATGTATGAGTGAAAAGAAGAAAAACCAAAATGGGGACTTCATCAAATTGCAGAGTTTGTGAATTGAAGCTGTTTAAATAGAGTTCCAATGTCCGCCGCGTTTCACATATTTTATATTTCCAAAGGGTATAACTCTTTTTAAAAAAGTCGATCGTCCACCATTATATAACTTGTCCTAGATATTGCTGATATTAACATATAGAGTAAGTTTTATAAAGATCTGGCAAGAATTGTACCCGTGAGAGCCCTAACGAGGCCATTTTCCATAAATTAAATATTTCCAAGGGCATAACTCTTTAAAAAAAAAGTCGATCGTTCACCATTATAAAACTTGTCTGAGATACTACTAATATTAACCTATAGTCTAAGTTTTATAAAAATCTGTCAAGAATTGTACCTGTGAGAGCGCTAACAAGAGTGGAAGGACTGACACACGGACGGACAAACGGACGGACGCCCGGTATTTCCATGTCCCCCGCAAAGCGTTACCCGGGGAACAAAAAGGGCAACTTTATTTCAATTTGATGAAAAATCAAAACAATAATCAATAGTTGTGGTGAGAGCTGTTGAAAACATGTATGGTATTAATGAGAGGAAAAATGAATTCATGATAACTATTTGATAACAACAACAACAACAACAACAATACTTTTTTAAGAAGGTTACACAGTTAGCTATATAACTAATCTTCCCTGAGGCCCTCATCATAGAAAAGCATAAACAAAAATGCAAACATATACATGGCATACATTAGTATAAAAGTCAAGTATGTTGATAATGTTTAATACAACTTGATAAAAATGTTATGAAAAAATAAACATGATGAAATAATTAGTATTCAATATTTTTTTCAACAGGTTGATTTCAATAAATGATCTGTTATTTTGTATTTGAACGAATTAACCTTTGTAATATTTCTTAACGATATTGGCAAATTATTAAACAAGAATGGTCCAGAAAACATAAAAGATTTCTTGAACAATTCTATTTTTAGTTTAGGGAGTATGAGGTTTCCTTGAACAGCATTTCTCAATGGGTATGGATTTCTGTCTGAAACATAATGAAACTTGCTAGTAAGATATGATGGGGCATCATTTTTGATGCACTAAAATTTCATCACAAACTTGTGATATTTTATTCTTTGTTCAACTGTCATCCAGTTTAAGTGTTTGAATAAGGGCTCGGAAGGAGCGAAAGTGTCTGTTTCTAGTATTACTCTAGCAGCTCTTTTTTGTAATTTTAATATCATATTTAAACCCTAACTGCTACAAATACTCCACACTATACAACAATAGTCAATTAGTGGTAAGATATAACCATTATAGAATAATTTTCTGCAGTCTAGATTTAGCAATTTCTTAATCTTTAATAGTAGATATAGCCTAGTTGAAATTTTTGAGCAGATCAGATCAATTTGGTTTGTCCATGTAAGGAAAGGGTCCATTTTAATGCCTAAGAGACTTTCGCATGACTTGATTGTTAATAGTTAAACAATTCTCATTGTAATGTGTTATTGCTTTTTACTTTGTTCCAATAATCATATATTTTGTTTTATTTTTATTGATGAACATATTGTTATCATTACACCATTCTTCAACACCATGCAAATCTTCTTGTACCTTTGACTGCAAAGTTTGATAACAACTACCAGAAAGATGTAAAGTTGAATATCCAACAAATTTTCATATATATAGGAAGGTCGTTTATGTATAATATAAACAGAAGGGGCCCTAATATGGAGCCTTGGGACACCATACTTGATATAGTATTTTGTTTTAGCAATTTCAAATTAGGCAGCGCCTGCACTTTTTATTTGACGTTCTGCGCTCAATCGTGTAACCCTGGTTCATTAAAGAGCAACTGTTCAATTGTCCCCTTTAACAACAACAAAACAGCACCGTTTAAAAATTTACAATCAAGGAAGAACATTTTATTACCTAGTAAATCATTTTTTTTTCTGTGCACTTTGAGTCTAAGGTCCCTGTAATAATTTCGACTTGATTTAATTTCAAACAACATTTTTGATGATACACACTTTTTCAGAAAGGTAGACACGTTTGAGCGTTTCCAAAATATGGACATGGTTGGTAGATTAATAAAAGGACACGTTTGGCGTCTTTTATCAACTAGACAATTTTGATCGTTCAGAGACGTCATATGAACACGATTGGGGATCGGACACGAATCTTCAAGTGTTTCGATCCTTGTTTATAATTGGCTGTCATATATTGGCCTTTGACCGTTCCTGATAAAGGTAAATCCAGTAAAGCGCGTCGGTCGCTTGGATTTATAAAGTATTGTTTTCATTTTTTGGGAGATGAACACGTTTTTAAGTTTAAAATATATTCCGGAAAAAGCCGAGTATATAAGACGTTTATTGCCAATTTGGAACCTCAATAACGTCAATCAAAACTAACGTTAGTAGGTGAGGTTATCGTAATCTACATTCCAGTAAACACATCTCACAGGCTCACGAAGGGTAAAATGTGATGAGTATCCTTCAATGGTACGTTTTTGATTTTAAATCATGCTATTTACACATACAATACTTGATAAATATTTTCACTGCAAATTACAAAAGTTTCACGTTAGCTGAAAAATATCAGGCTGGGTTTATTAATATTTCGGTTTATCAAATTACATAAAAAAATTACTTACATGCAAAAAGTTCATATAAAAGGTAAATATTTTATTGCAAAAATAACTATAAAAACCCTATTTGTCAGAATAAAAGCACATATTTAAGTGAAGTACACATAATATAAAGAAACCTTTACAGAATATCTTTACCGTATGGTGAATGTTCAACAAATGGCTAGTACTGGATTAATTTACATTAAGGTATGGTTATTCGTAATATAAGTGAAATTCAGTTTCTCGACAGGGTATATGAGGTTACCTGAATAAATATAACAGTATCAATTTCCGTTGTTTTACGACACCGACTTAAACTTATCTATTTACGTTTTAGACATAGAGAACGAAAAAAAAGGAAAATGAAGATCTTAATTGTTTGCTTCTTCTTTGGTAAGTCTTTATTTTTTAAAATTCAATGCTAATTTTAAATATTGAAGATAACACTGATTTAAAAAAAAAGTTATCAATTCGGTTTGAAAAACAACATTGAAACCCATTGATACTACGCTTAATGACAAAGACATCATTTCCAGGTTATCAAGTAAAAGAGTTAAATAGCAATATTTTGTACATTGTAACTATCGATATGACCTATTAAGTGAGTGTTTTTGAAGATATATAAAACTTTATCATTATCATTAATTTTTTTTTATTCAATATCAATTTTAGTGATCTTCTTATACATTAGCTCTATTCAATAGATGGATAAACTTGACATTATTTTCCTGCGTTGAAACGATTCATACATTCAAAATTCAATTCTTTATATATATGAGGCTGAAATTAACGTTTTAGTTTACAGATGTTCAAATCTCATAATCCATTGAGAAAATACAATTCACGGTAAACAATACTTAAAGAAATTGAATGAATTGCAAATGGAGCAAGTCCGGGTGGGTCAACAGGGTAGGCGTCTCTTGCTATGCATGCAATACCATTCATGCGAATCTACATTGAGTCAAAAAGTCACAATCAGGAAAAGGACACGACTATCATTTATAAAACATCAGACAAATTATAGATGACACCTATTAATGCCCAGTTTGATGTTCAGTTTTATAGAGTTTTGCCACATTTGATCAAGTAATGTTAATATATGATTACAATGTCATTGTTTTTCAGAATAAAGTATTAATATCAGGTTTGTATATATATGTTACAATTGGCCTAATTAGTTGTCATAAAACATGTCAGGATAATGACCTCATGCCATTATTTTAATTGTCATACAGGTTTAGAGATTGCAGGTGTACTGAGTAGAAGATGTGTTATTTATGCAGAGAATGAAACTATACCAGCCATTCCAAAGGGCGCCCAGTTTGGTAGAACATGTTATAACGTGATTAATGACAAAAATAGGTACTGCATTGAATGGGATTGTCCTCAAGCTGACTGTTCTAATCCAATTAATCCGATTAAGGGTTGTCCGTACTGTAAAGGTATGTACAAGTATGTTTTGATAGAAGATATGTATGCTTTAATGTAAACATAAAATACAAACACAAACACTAACTGTCAAAGGAAATATCCAACAATTAATTTCAATAGTGTTTTGTAGATTCTTTATTCACTGCAACATCTGTAAATATTTTTAACCCACCATTTTTCTCAAAATGTCCTGTACCAGTTCAGAAATTAGCAGTTGTTATCTAATAGTCCGTTTCTATGTATGTTGTCGTTTGTTTTTTGTAGCAGTTCAGTGTTTATAGTTGTCCCGTTGTTTTCCTCTTATAGTTGATGTGTTTCCCTCGATTTTGGTTTGTGACCCGGATTTGTTTCAGTAAAATGGATTTATGACTATTGAACAGCAGTATACTACTGTTGCCTTTATTTACTTTTCTTATAAGTTACAAAAACACTGTATATTGCTTGAAGTTTGAATAAAGCAATCTCAATTTGTCGATTATATTTGTAATCTTTCAAAAGCAAGTTCTTGTCTGGGAGCACATGATTTTTTAATTAGATGTTATTGAATTTGAACTAGCTTTCGGTAGGTGCGAGAAGTCTTATGTCGTTGCTTTTTGTCCATTATTTTTATGTTGTATTTATTACCCGTATCGATCTTTTTAATTACGTCAATTGCTACTGATTATTACAGTTTTTTCTTATCTTGTTCAGTAACACTATTGTCCAAGGTTGTTTTTTTATGGTTGGGCACTCAAATACATTTTCAATCCCACCAATATCTTAATATGCATGTCCTGAGTTAGGAGCCTCAAGTTCAGTGGACGGCGTTGATTCAGTTCTGTTATATTTGTTTTTCGTAAAATTTTTTTATTGAAAAGGCCGTTATTTTTCTCGTTTTTTTCATGTTGGGGCCTTTTATAGCCGACCATACGGTATGTTTTTTTTGTCTCATTGTTGAAAGCCGTTCAGTGCCCTATATTTGATCATATCCACTTTATTTGAACTCTGGTGGGTAGTGTGTCTCAAAAGCAAACATACCACATGTTATCTTTTTTATTGTTAATGGAATTTTACCACATTGAAAAACTCATCTGTAATTAAAGCCCAGTAATTTTGTTTTGTTTTACTTGCGACGTAAGTCGCAGAATGCTAGACATAAGGATGCTACTTCGACAGCGGCAACTGGCCAAAGGTATTTGTTTAAAGCTTTACTTTTAAAAAGATAGAAGATTTGTGTTGTCCATATCTTGTTAAAAAATTGAAAATAACACGTTATAAATTTGATGCGTCCGACACTTTTCTGGATTTACCTTCATCAGGAATGATCAAAGCCGAACATTTGAAAGCCAAGGATGTACAAGAACCAAAACAGTTGGAGAGCTATATTTCAAAAATCGACCTAAAAATAGCCAAATCCAACTAAGGTTAACTTTACCTGAGGGAGTTGAAACCTCAGTTTCTAATAAATTCAAAATTTGTGAACGGACAATTTTAGAAAGTTTTGTTATAAATCATGTCAGCACCAAAGATCTAACTACTGGGCTGATGATATTCTCCGGACCTGATGGCTCACCAGCAGAAGTATCGACCTAGTGCTGTAAACATGAAAACATCAGTTATAAATGTTATTCGTCCGAAGTGCTTTACTTGATTTACCTTCATCAGGAATGTTCGAAGTCGAATATTTGAAAAACCAAAAAGGACCTAAAAAAATCCATCTAAGGTCAACTTTGCCTGCGGGAGTTGAAACCTTAGTTTTAAATAATTTTAGACGATAACATATCGTTGGAATAAAATTGAGAATGGAAACGGGGAATGTTTCAAAGAGACAACAACCCGACACAAGAGCATAAAACAGCACAAGGCCACTAATTAGATCTTCAACACAGCGAGAAAATCCCGCACCGGGATGCGGGCTTCAGCTGATCCCTAAAAAAAAATGTGTACTAGTTCAGCGAAAATGGACGTCACACTTAACTCAGAAACATATAAATGAACCTAAATTAAAAAAAAAAACATATACAAAGTTTACATTTTTACATATTGTCATTAACCTTATCTTCATGGTCAAGTGATTGCTTTAGAAATCGAATATAGCTTGTTCTGTCATGTTAACTTTTTCATTTATTATGTCCATAGGTTATAGAATAATTAAAGTTGATCCATAAACATGTCCTTTTTAGTAGCGTTATCAACAGATATTGATGTCTGTTCGTTTTTCAGTAATTTCTTTCTAAAGTGAGTTTATAGGTCCTATAAATAAGAGTTTAACTTTAGTTGTTGTGGCGATCGATTGTATAGTCTTACAGCGTCGAACTAACTTTAGTATGAAAATAAGGATGTTTGGTATAATTGCCAATGAAACGACTATCCATCTAAGTCCAAAAAAAATGTGGATTAAACCAAAAATAGGTTTATGTACAGCTTTAAATAATGAGCAGACCCCATACCGTATAATCAGCTATACAGGACCCCGACATGACGAAAAGTGATCTAATTCAAACGAAAACATACGGCCTGATTAATGACAAATTAATGAACGAAAAACAAATATGACACACAGTAACCGATTATATATATATTTCATTTCGTTTGAAATTTGTGATTTTCCTATTTTCTATTTGAAATGTATGAATTATATATAAATAGGTTCTAGTATAACTAGTTCTAAAACAGTACTTACTTTTTACTAAGTTGTTGGCTACGTGCATGGGTCACGATAAAAGTTTTGGCGGTTTGTACGGGTGTGGTTTTATTGTACTTTATAAAGTTTGGAATTCAAATGTATTATTATAAAAGGTTCTCTCAGTAATGGCGATGCAAGTTTAGTCACCTAAGTAATTATATACCGTTCTTTCTAAGTTAAGTACATGTAAATATATGATTGTGAATGGTAGAAATCTGTTTAATCAACTAAAATAAAATTGTATTGCATGAGAAAATAGTATGTTACTTTAAGCAACCAATCTTATTTCTGTGTTTAGGATTTTTAATTCGGACGAACTGGGACAAGGAGAATTTAAAGCATTGAATTATAGGCTGCTTGTATTTATAATGTAGCGGTAATGTTAATTCCATTTTCATGGTTCACCATAAGGGATAATGTAGGTTAACTGTATTTATCCTGTACGATTCGCTTGTGTATATAACAACGTATTAGATTTTAGCGAGCGAAATTTATATATTACTGAAAAATTATTACACCAGGGTTTTCGATATCATAAACTAGTCAAAACATTTACTAAATTTTATCATCGGTATAAGGACATCATTCGTAAATATAACTCAACATGCAGACATCTTATAAGTTCGGGTATTTCACATCCAATCTTTTATGGTAATATTCTTTACAAAGCACAAAAATGTCAGTATTCACCTCAAAAGCTAACAAAAACTTTAAACATACTTATTAAGAAGGGATATAGTTACGATACTGTTGTCAGGTCATTAAAGATTGCATATTTTGGCTTTAATATTGATTCACTTATAGGGTCTTTGCATCGGAATTAAACATATTTGTTCTAAAACCAGTTGTTGGCATGACACGGGTTATGTTCTTCTCATATATTTTATGACGGTATAATACTAAACCCCTAACAGAAGGGATTGTGCCTGATATTCATATGATGAAGACATAATCTTTTAATCAGTTTAATTGAGGTCTGCAGCTGGCATGTCAGTAACTGCTAGTAGTCTGTTGTTATTTATGTATTATTGTCATTTTGTTTATTTTCTTTTGTTTCCTATTCTGACATCGGACTAGACTTCTCTTAAACTGAGTTTTACTGTGCGTACTGTTGTACGTTTGTTTTTCTCTACATTGGCTAGAGGTATCGGGGGAGGGTTGAGATCTCAAAAAACATGTTTAACCCCGCCGCATTTTTGCGCCTGTCCCAAGTCAGGAGCCTCTGGCCTTTGTTAGTCTTGTATGGTTTTTAATTTTAGTTTCTTGTGTATAATTTGGAGTTTAGTATGACGTCCATTATCACTGAACTAGTATACATATTTGTTTAGGGGCCAGCTGAAGAACGCCTCCGGGTGCGGGAGTTTCTCGCTGCATTGAAGACCCATTGGTGGCCTTCGGCTGTTGTCTGCTCTATGGTCGGGTTGTTGTCTCTTTGACACATTCCCCATTTCCATTCTCAATTTTATTGCTGTAAAGAGTTCTTGAAAAGTGTACGTACCCGATTGATACGAAGCACAAATAACCTTCGGGAGTAGTACCTAATTCACATGATCAGCGCAATTTCAACATAGGTGACGACGACATATCAAGGTGTATATATCTTAAATGTATTCTTGAATAGGAGTCCAACTCCATACTTTTTCGTGTGTTTTACAGAGACATAAAACTGGAAAAAATCACACTCTGTTTATTTGGGAATGAAGACACAACATGAAAATAAGCAATTTTGACATGATTTATCAACACAATATAGTTATGAAGTCTTCAAAGATATAAAAGGAACGAAGAGGAAACATAGAACTTATCAATGTATAAAGATCTATAGAACTCTTGGTTTATTTGCTATACTTTACATGAGGAGTAGTTGCACATACATCTTTAGGTGAATTTGAACGTAAATTTGAAATAATAACTGTGCTATAATGATGTAATTCATCTTGACACACTGTACAAATAAATTCTATCAATGGTTTCCATAACAGAAACACACAACAATTTTCATTAAAGTGTAAATTCAAATACTAGTAGCATAACTAATCATAACTGACTAGGTGATGTACCATAGCAATATATGAACCTACGAATTGTTGAGACATTCTAGAAATATAAGTAAACATCTACAACGACTTTGCGATTGAACGAATGGCTAACTATATACAGAATTATACTAACCAATCAAAAACTTCTATTTGCGATCTCCGGGAAAACATGATCTGCGCAAAGATAGTGTTTCTACGCATCCTCCGGGGACTGATCACAATATTATATATAATTCACACTTAGGAAAGAATCCACATCTGTTCAGTCGGATAGATAAATAATTAATCAAACTTAGAATGCAGGATATAACATCTGTGACCGACTAATAGAAGTAAAATCCCCAGATGAAATGGGTTCGAGAGCTACGTTCTGAACTGCGAGTGAAAATTAAAAGTAGACTGATACTATAATATAAGAGCTAATATATATATAAATAATTTCGTACTTTACATACAAGGGCAAAACTATATGATTTCTGCAAAATAAAGTCATAGTTATTAAACAACTAATTTGGGATCACAGCCCACATGTAAACAAATCTACATCAATTTATTTCCGGTCGCAATCAAGAAATGAACTTTTCAATATATAAATAAACGGATTATTACAACTAAACCATGTTGGATTTAAGATGGGTTTGAATAACGAAACATCTGGACAACAATATAAGATTAACAATATAGAAATTGAGACTCTTTCAACATATTCCCGGAGCATGAAATAAACAAGGATCATTTTTGGCGGGCGCAACACACTTTAAATATTTGTTTTTGTCCCTGTTTGATAATTTTCCAAGTATTATGGCCTTTGAACCTTCTAAGATAGTTCATGAATATTACAGCATTCCATTAAGTGTGCATCATTGGTGTATAAGTGAAGAGTTTAATGTGCATTAAAGGTGTATCAGTATGACGTTCAATGTACATCAATGGTATATCAGTATGACTTTAAGTGTACCTTAATGGTGTGTCATTGTCACATTCAGTACTAGTGTACATCAATGGTGTATTCAGTAAATAGGTCAATTCTTTATATGCCTGTCCCAAGTCAGGAGCTTGTAGTTAAATGGTTGTCGTCTGTTATATTTATTTTTCGTGAATTGTTTTGTTATAAATTACGCCGTTAGTTTTCTCAATTGAATTGTTAAATAGTTTTCATGTCGGGGCTTTTTATAGCCGACTATACGGTATAGGTATTTCTAATTGTTGAAGGCTGTACTGTTGCCTATGATTGCTTTCATTCACTTTATTTGAACTTTTGTGGGTAGTTGTCTCGTTGGCAATCATACCACATCTCCTTATTTTTATATGTTTATCTGTTCTTACAGTATCTGACAGTACAAGGCATAATTTGCTAATATCCAATAGACCATGTTTGTTTTATGAATTATTTCACAAGCTCATCCGATGTGAATCGGTATACATGACGTCATTGAACAATTCGATTTATTTATGTACGATTTACGGTTGTGAAAGACTTGCTTGTTATTTCTATAAAATGGTCTCAGTCTGTTTCTTCAGTAAAATGTTGCATGCAAATTATGGATTATTTTCTCTCATTTAATTTAAACTTCTGATCCTTTGGATTTTCTTTATCGCAGGTACATGTGTAGATGCTGGTAAAGTGTATCAAAAAGGTACCTCATGGAGGTGTGCTGATGGATGTAATAGATGCATGTGTAGCACTACGACGATATCGACGATGATGATGTGCTATGACAAAAACCCACCACAGGAGTGCATGGCAACCATTGGTTAATAACATAATACCCAAATAAAATCCTGTTACTTGTATCTCTTTTTTAAGGAAACAATATGCGCAAAGACGAAACGTAATGAAAAAGAAAAGGATCATTGCACGATGACCCCTATTTTAAAGTTTGTATAATTGCACGAATCACGTCGAGTAATTGCCATTCTGAAATGAAATTGAAAGTAAATGCTTTCTTAACTTAATCAATAGAAAACTTGTGATGAACCACATTGGTTTCCATAACAAATACACTGATTTTATCATAAGGATGTTAAATTTATTGTTTGACAACATATTTGTCTTGTTGCGTTTTAGTCGATTGGTTTTTTAGTAAACTGTAGGTATATAAAATCATTGACTTGCTTTTGTATGCATATTGGGTCGACTTCAAAACTTTCTCAAAGTCAACCAAATGCATCTTGCTGAATTACTTAGTGTAACATCAAAATGTATGAATGGTGTGATGTCATTCAGGAGCTAACATTTCAGCGATGAGTCCCTTTATTCTATTTCACAATCTTCACCTTTTTCTTCAATTTTTACTACAGTTCATAATATTATAGTCATCTTCGAAGTATTTTCAGAATACACAAAAACTAAGAACGCATTATCAAATTATGATTGATCACAGTGTATTTTGGTGTTTCAAAACGAAATTCAAGTAGATTTTAACAGCTCTTTAGCATTTACTTAAATAGGAATTGAACAATCAATTTTTTTAAGGTACTTCCCTGTCAAAGCAAAGTTTTTTTTATATACAAAAAGCATATTCATATTTGTGGTTATAGAGGCAACGGTTGTTAACAAAGTAATCTTGCAATCCGATGCAGATTTTGTTTATTATTATAATTTTATAATAACTTGTTTAAATGTATTTTTTTTATATGTAGACTAAAAACAATTCTGCAGATGAGTCGTACTAGAGTAATAGAACTTTGAATATCACATTTAAAGTCAAGTACTGCACCTTCATGCAAAACGCCGTTTACATTCATAGATATGTTTTTCTTGTTAATGGTTATTACAGGTTTACTTATCAACTGGAATATATCTGTTACCAAAATTGTTATGGTAACAATTGCTACCCTTTCAGTTTACCTTTTATTTAGATAAACGAAAGTTGTTTAAAACAGACAGTGGTATTTCACACTTTTTGACAAATGTAGTTAGACACTTTTTACAGTTTTTATTTGTTAAATATACTTTCTAACAACAATAAAATAGTTTCAGAAAAACAACAACAAAGTCAGCTATTGTAAAACCTTGATCCCAATGTAGATTCTCAAGGTTCAAAATATTTGCTTGATGTCATTTAAAACGCGGTTTCGGCGTATCATATGATATAAATGGTGTCTTTGATAAGTTTTTACATCTGGATGTTAAAAATAAGACAATTTGTGCTTCTATTTATTGGAGAAAAAAATAAAAGAATTACTTTTAACAAATGAATATGTAATTTTTTGGAATAGAAACCAGAAAACTATATAAATGTAAAACAGAAGAACGCCAGTCATTCAATCATTTTGATAAGGCGAAAATAAGATGAAATGCATACTGATTCCGAACACGATAGTAAGGTATACAGAGTGCAAACTATATAAGACGGTTGAACGGTTTGAATTATAATGTCAAAAACTGATGACGTGGACTGGAATGAAGACAAAATCACGACCAGAAAGTAACTGAGTTTTCCAAAGGTAGGTCAAACGATAATTGAACCCACAAGATATGGCGACCCACATGGCCCGACACAACTTGATTTAATTTCAGGATTCTAGTATAACTTGGAAATGGATGGATTTCAACGAAACTTGCATAATATCTTATTTCACCCAGATACCTAAACTGTAAGTTTCTACAGTGAATGGTGTGATTTGTTTTTGTAAATAGGCGTACGCCTTAGTTCGGTGGCTTAACTTCTAATAACTTGTTTCTACCGGATATTGTGATTGCGCATGATGTATAAAACGCTATCAACCGGAAAAAGTCCGCAATTTGGCGGACACTAAGTACTAGTACTGATTGTTTGGCTATACAACAATCAATATTTTTTGATAAATAATGAAGTTTGGTGGAATTATAATCGATATATAATACAAGGTATCGAAAATACAGAATGTATCTACATTGAACCTTCTTCACACTGGGTTTCAATAAGTCGTCAGATTATCAAACATTTTGTGACGTGTTTAATGTACTATAAAAATATCGGAGTTGATTAAGGCTCACACACACCTGAATTCACCTTTCCATGTAATGAGGGAAAAATAATTCAAGGAACCACTGGATATAAATTTGAAAATGTCAAGTATATCCAAGTATGTCCAAGATATCAAGTGTCTATTAATACTTTGCAATTCAAGAAGGAAAATTCCATTTTTGATGCCATATGTTCAGCGTGTTTCTTTTCATACGTTGACAATGAGGTGAGGATTTGAGTGGCTGCCCTATAGGTACAGAAGCTTCTGAAGAAAGTTTAATTATATTAAATTAGGGATTGAACACATAAGGGAATCCAAAGATAATTGTATTTGCACTAGAGGTAACCTCTAAAAACATGTTTAAATCCTTTTAATTTTGATCAAAAATATTTGTAATTTTTTTATCTCTAAATTTGACCTATCGAATGTATCGCACAAGAATGCAACAGAGTTTAAGCAACAAAATGTCAATCAATGTCACGAAAAATAGTTTCGACCACATGTGCTTTCGAAGTATTAACCAAAGAAAAAAATTCTGATTGACCAATGTCATTCAAATACATGTTGGGTGTTTGCTTATGTTTTACCTTTGTAAACTTATATTATAGGAATTACAAACCGCATATATAACACCTCGGCGTATACAAAAGGAAGACTACTGAATTAGAGAACTGGGAAATGCGACACCATATGGTTGTATTGACCAAATCGATTTTATAGGTAATCTATTTAATCCTTCCTTCAGCTCGGTTAATATGATGATTAACTTTTGAAACTTGAGTATCTGTTCAACTTATGTTTGGAAACCATTGTTAAAAATCTCTATCTTGAAACCAATACAAACTTACCGATATCATCTCAGATATTGCCCGTCACAAACTCCTCAGACTAATTGGCATTGGAAAAGTTAAAACGTAGAAACGATCCATTCTTAAACATTCCTTTGACAACTAAAGTCTCGACTCCAAGAACTAAGGCAATATACTTCATCATAAATCAGTTTTATCGAAGATACCTACCTTCTTTATGGATAAGTCCTATACATATACCAAACCGAATTCGACTAAAATTCAAAATTTCAAATATGTAATGCAGGATCTCAATAATAACTACTTCAAATCTAAACAACCGCAATACGCTTGTGCTAGTTTCCCATTCATATACAATCCGATTGAACACGTAATTACCGGGGAACTTAAGATTGTTAAAAACACTTCTCCGCGAAACGTGTTATCAAAGGGCCCGAAATACCGCGATCCATCAAATCCATCAATTTGAAACACAACTTTAAAAACGACCAAAAGACAAACTTCACCCTAAAAGACATAACACAGAAACCTAACGACTGTGCAACACGAACCCCACCAAAATTAGGGCTCCGGGTTGGTTAGCAGATATTGATGTTAATAATCAAAGATTTGTTTTATGTTCTTATGAAATTTAAACCAAAGATGTAGAACTGGATCTTTCATCACGCGATTCCCTCAGTTGTTGTTTGTTACCTTGATTTTTCTCTTCTTAATCGAATTCCGAAATAAACTCATCATAGATATACCAGGATTGAAATTTTGTATTTGCGCCAGACGCGCGATTCGTTTACAAAAGACTCATCAGTGACGCTTGAATCAAAAAAGTGAAAAGGCCAAATAAAGTACGAAATTGAAGAGCATTGAGGACCAAAAGTGCGTAAAAGTTTTGCCAAATACAGCTAAGGTAATCTATTCCTGAGGTAGAAAAGCCTTAGTATTTCAAAAATGTAAAGTTTTGTAAACAGTTAATTTATAATTATGACCATATCAATGATAATTCATGTCAACACAGAAGTGCTGACTACTAAGCTGGAGATACCCTCGGGGAATAAAAACTCCACCAGCAGTGGCATCGACCCAGTGGTCGTAAATAAACTCATCATAGATACCAGGTTTGAAATTTTGTATTTTCGCCAGACGCGCGTTTCGTCTACAAAAGACTCATCTGTGACGCTCGAATCAAAATATGTTAAAAAGGCCAAATAAAGTACGAAGTTGATGAGCATTGAGGACCAAAAGTTTCTAAAAGTTTTGCCAAATACAGCTTAAATAATATACACTAATGTAACCTTAATTATTCAGGGATAAATCATACTCATAACCGCTATGATTCAAACAAAATATTCGCTGAATTTGACATTGTCAAGATGCTTGATTTTTTATTGCATAACATTTTAGTTACTTGTGGAGGACGTATTGTTTCAACAAACAATCGGAATACCCAAGGGAACCAACTACGGTACTCTTGTTCCTTGTTCATATGAGGCAGACTGCATACATAAGCTCATAAGGATGAATGAGCAGAAGCTAGCATTATCTTCTGACTTCACGTTTCACTATCTAGATGATATCCCCTCCAAAATAATTCAATGTTTGGTGACTATGTCTAACGAATCTATACAATCGAACTTGAAATATCAATATACAAATACAGTTTAGCCTGCATCATATCTTGACTAGAAATTGGCAATGAGGGTCGTTTTAAAAAAGAAATTACGACAAAAGAGATTATTAAAGTACCGCATTTTTGAACTTTCCATTTCTGTGTAGCATCTTCCAGGTGATACGATATTCAAGAGCTTGTGTTTCCTATCATGTTGTCCATGATACTTGGTTTCTAATTACAAATAAGCTATTAAACCAAGGGTTCAAAGTGGTAAATCTAAAGTCATCCATTCGAAAAGTTTAGGGACGCTATTACCACATGGTTAAACGTTATTGAATATCTGTATCACAGATGACGACAGATATGTTTAAATTGTTGTTTCCACAATCCCGTCCTCTTTTCATCCAATGAGAATCATCAGCGAA